TACCATTTTTGATCTAATAAAATCTATTTGAATCTACTAAAACAAATAAACAAAGGATAAATTTGTTATTTATCAAAAGTATATAAACATGATTGATTTTGGACGGATAATGATTTATCAAAAAAATTTACAACATTAAAAATCATTAAATTTTATACATTTAACAATTTTGTTTTGAATAAATTCTTTAAAACAATGCTGTTTAAATTGGCTACTACTTGTGTGATTGATTCAATAAAGGAACAAAATCAATTATTTCGCAATGAAAGCTATTTGTTTGTTTATTTATTGTTGTTTTTTTTTGATTTTAGTATTAATGTGTGGTTTCTATTCATAATACAATCAGAACTTGTTAAACTGAAGTCAATATTTTCAAAAAAAAAAAAAAAAACTTCGATCTAAAAAACCTTAATAAAATCAGCTTATTGAGGTAATTTGATAGGTAGATAATAAAACAACATCAGTTTATCGTTTATCTAAGCATTGTCTTAATGAGTTCTAACTGTACATTTATTTGTTTTATTTGTATTTGTTTTATTTGTTTATTTGTATATATTTGTTTTATTTGTTTTATTCAATTAAACCTTATTTGAATAGAAAACCCTAACTGCTACTCAAGGTTATGATACTATTTAGCACAAAAAGCTTTAGAAATATTTAACCAATAACTTAATTACAATATAAAAAGAGAGTTATCGGTTTATTAAACTAAGCCAATAATTAACTAAAAAATAGGATTAATTATAAAAGAATATCTGATAAATATTGGCACTTTCAACATTTACTAGTAGGCTTTTAGACTATATGATAAAAATATTAAGAATATTATTAACTTATCAGTATGTCAATACCTTGATTATTTTTTTAAAGTATAATCAGATTCTGATATTTGCTGATACCCCATTACCCAAGTTGGCATCATTTGACCAGTAAAAAGAGAACCAATAGATTATATATAAGCAAAGAAAGATGGGATCCTAAATTAGCACAAAAGAATTTTAAATCATGCACAAACATGATAGCTTGATGG